ATTGACTAAAACTATGCTGAAATGTTTGATTTTTTTTCTTTTTTTTTTCACTTTTTTTACTTTTTTTTTTTAATAAACACTCTCTCGTACATCTTAGCCTCCGGGGTCGTAGGGTTGGGATTGGGGTTTAGTGTTTAGTTTTTAGAGCACCCTCTCGTACATCTTAGCCTCCGGGGTCGTAGGGTTGGGATTGGGGTTTAGTGTTTAGTTTTTAGAGCACCCTCTCGTACATCTTAGCCTCCGCGATTGTAGGGTTCTGGGATTAGGGTTTCTTGATAAAAAGACTAAGTTCCATTTTGCACTATTGCGCATGCGCACAAGCTGTTTTACGGAGAACAACGGACTGCCGGATCTATAGCCGCGCAGTAGGCGTCCGGCTGCCGGACCAATATCCACTTCCTATCATTAATAGGACCATAGATATTAAACACAATCTAATGGATCACGTGATTCCGTTGCCTATCCCGGTTACGTAGTCTCTAATATCTATGATAGGACCGGGATTGAGTTCAATGTCTCCTGATAATAGGAGAAGAAGAGAGACCCACTTGAACAGGTAGCAAGCTGAGTTATCGGCGACTGAAACCATAAAAACGAAGAACCAAAGGTAAGTTTTGCTGGGGTTTAATAAAGTGCTCCTTGTACTGGTACAGCACCAATGGCCTATACTGGCCCTCCATTGAGCAATATCGATCATCCTGGTCCGTATAGAGCAAGAAGTGTGTGTTCTTATCTTTACAGTAAAAAAATAGCTGAGCTTTCAAAAACATGCCCCATCCAAATTTACCATATAAAGAGCAGGAATTCAAGAAAATTCATAGCTAGTGATTTGCAGAGCTAGCACATGATAGATCTATTACAGGGTGAGAATTAATTTTTTATTCTTATTTTATTTGCATCCCAGACCCCCACAACAAATCAACATGGACTACAAAGTTATGAATTCATCAAAATTAACATTGAGTGTTAACATGACTTTTTACACAAACAAAAAATCCATACAATTTGTGAACTATGCATTTGCTGGTATTAATAATTAGTTGGGTACAGCATCAATGAATTTAAAGTATAATACATAGTTTTGATCTTGGAGTTCTGTGAGGCTATCATACAATAATAAAAGTTCATTTGAATGATAATAAAATTGAATGCTTACTCTTGAGTGTTGCTTCCCAGCTTCTTTAGCTTCATTTTCCTTTTTATCAGCTTCAGTCTCCCCTTTAAACTTACTGACAGATTCATACTATTTATAAAATTAACTTTAAATAACATTCCTTATTTATACATGATCTAGCCAGCAAAAGCCACCATTAAGGCGGATTTACAATATGACATTAGGCCAGCGTACTGTCAATTTTTAATCAAACGCGTGGGCAGTTTGACCTTTTGACGCATGCTTTCCACTGGAATAGAACCAGATTCTATTTCAGCGTCAACGTAACGTCAGGACTAGCGTAATATTGTAAATCTGCCTTTAGCCTAAATAAGGTCTCAACAAATCATATTACATTACATTATAAATGTAGTTCCTAATTGAGCTCTAACAGTAATTTTTGCTGACTAGGTCACACATAACACTTAAAAAATACAGCAAACAAAAGAGTACACAAGTGCTAAACAAGCCATTATCATTACTATTGTTTATTAGTGATTATTTACTTGTGCTAGTTTTTGTTTGAGTTCTTCATTTTCTTTACGTAATTTATCATTCTTTTGTTGAACAACCAATACATCTTCATCTCTACCAGTAGCTCCTCCTGTACTGCTACCTCCTTCATCTTCTCTAGCTCTTTCTC